TTTAGATGCCTTCAAATTGCATTTGCAAAAAAACATCTAAAAAAACTGGCTGTAAAAGCAAATTTGACTTCTAAAAGAAATTCGCTAAGTCTTCAAAACTAAACTCGATCTGAATATCAAACCACACGCTAGTTTGGGAAAAGGCATTGAAAAACAGGATCTATTAAAAGTTAGGAAAATCGCATGGTGCAAGCTTACCCAGTGTAAGTAGCAGTATCATTTGGTTTTTTGGGTGGGACGAAATCGCTCGCTGTTCCATAATCAATGTTATCAATTGCTGCTAAGTCAGCGACATCTCGTGCTTTTAAATGGCTGTTTTCGTAAGCTGCATCTGTTTTCGTCTGCTGATCCAAATCTGAAGTTAACCGCGAAGAACCATTAACACCATAACTGCTACCGTTCCCAATTTTTGGCACCTGCCAACAGAGCGTGTCGCGAATTGCCTGGAAACAAAAATGGCAATTATTAGTTAAAGTTAATTAATTTTTTAAAATTAATTAACTTTACGCCGTTTTCATTTTTTGTGAGAGACAGAGACATACAGAAGTAGCCGAGTGGCAGCATCTGTCAAAACAATCACATGCTGGCAATTCTGTCGTCGATGGCTACCTTTTTCCCGCAGCTCTCACAAGAAAGCTGATAGCGACACCGGCATGCTCCGGTACTAATTGGCTATCGACACGAATATACGAATCGTGGAAATTCAAAATGATCATTATAAATTTAAAGAAAACATCTAAAATACTTATCATTTACTATAGATCTATTGCTACTCCGCCAAAATCCTATAAGGCTAACTCCTAGTCCACTTCCTTGTGCAGCAATGGCAAAACTGCAGCCGTCTAGAAGAAAAATGCTAAATTTGCGCCTATCCAAAAAAAATTAGCATTTCTCTCCAAAACACGAACAACGTAAAGACGTAGAGAAGCGAACAGCAAGGCCATTAGCAAGTTGACCATCAAGCGATACGGTTTTGGTCAGATTACGCACAGACTGGTCGTCGAAAATGTCAACTGATCAAAGTATCAAAACATTTTCCCGTTTTTATAAGAGAATAGTAACTAGCACGAGCCGGAGGTCACATTAAGCAGGAGCTGTCTGCGGAAATTCGGCTCAAAGCAGTTCCAGACGGAAGAATGCTACCATACAAAAGGCATTATTGAAGGCGACGACGCAAAAGTACAATTTCATTAAAAGCGTCTGCCGCCCAACTGTAAGGGGCTGTTTGCCCACTGTAAAGGAAAGATTGCCCTTTACATTGGCAGCATCACACTCACACCGTAAAATGCCACGCTTTACGAACTAATATTTGGAAAATTATGCAAAACCGATCGGAAGCTCGCTTCTTCAAATTTTTCGCTACGAGGAGTGCCGTACCCGCGAAACCGAAAACGATTCTGATGACTTCCGAAGCGAAAAATGTGAACGTAGCATTAGGCTAGGACAAAACAACTGACACTGCTACGTTAATATAACAGCATCACAGTACCGCTGACATATTAGCTCAGGCGAATTTGGTGATGCTAGATAATCAATCACCCTAGAGGCAACGCCGTAAGCGTTTGTGGATAAACACATCGCAAGTATAAGCTTCATATTTTCTACAGCCACTAGGGAGCTGCTTACAATCTCAGACTACAGCAAAAAGATTGCTGAAAAACTTCTTGCGCATATTTCTATTATATCTAGGCGGGAAATCCCTTATCGGTACCAAATCAATGTGGGTGACGACATATTCTTGCATGCCGCGCAGAGTTAAACCCTTCGATCTTGTGCTGTATACCTCCTATTTTTTCCTTCACTTGTTCAATATATGTGCATTCCTCTTCAGAGGCCACCCGAATAGCCTTTTATCGTACACCAATCCACGACGTCCATCCGTTGTCGGCAAGGCGAGCAACACCCGATTTTACTTTCTCGCGTGGTCGTAACGATATCCTACGCACCGCTCACCCGACGAAGTGTCTGATTGTTTATATGGTTACGAAAAGACACACCAAGTAACCTTCGTTCCATCGCTCTCTCTATCCAGCAGGCGCTCCTTCTCGAACTTTCGTCACTGACCGCGCCTCGCATCCACACGTCAATGCCCTCAGCACAGCGGTATTCAAGAAGTGGGAGTTTCCAGCCCGACGCATTGAGGTTATCGATGATGCTGTGAAATTTGCGCCAATCGATAGGCCCTCTACGT